CATGACCACTCCACTCTGGGACCAACCAGAGGTGGTATTTGCCAGTTCTCTGAACTATTCAAAATTTCTGCTACCGGTTCTCCAGAACCTGTCAGAACTTGCTGGATTTCACCCCCGATGCAAAGGGAAATAGAAGTAACCAAGTATGTTTTGTTCTTGCATTCTGACATACAGTGCCACAGTGAAAGCAACTTGAGAAAGAAGCTGGAGAACATTTTAGTCCATTGATATGCAAATAATTTTTATGTGACAAGCAAATCTATCATATAACTTCATTCTTTTCTATTGTTCGATTAAAGATCCTAGTCAATTCAGTCATGATTGCTAAGGGTGTATTCAGTTTTGTGTCAAGTCAACACATCATATCATGATTTCCAAGAATTTCATCGTCATTACAGTTCAAGCATTACTTTTAGAGAAAGCAGTGATTAGAATGCAGTATTGCAGACTAATTCTGCCAACTGCCAGGAGTTTGATTCTGACCAGCTCAAGTTAAGGACTACCTGTACTGACTCAGCTTTTCATCCTTTCGAGGTCGGTAAAACTAGGAACCCGACTGTTGGCGGCAATATGTTGACTCTGGAAACTGCTTAGAGAGGACTATGAAGCAGTATATAAGTCTAAGTGCTATTGCTATTTCCAGTGGTGATTTCCACAGATGTGCCTATCGCAGCATTTTTTATTACTTCACTTAACAATAAGGTATAATTGGTAGTTGAGCATTGAAAATTGATGATTTTCAAACAATAGTGCTCGATCTGAACATTTAGTATATTCTGCATGTTTATGTAAACTGTTCGTGGATTACTAACATCTGGGATACCTGCAAGTGAAATCTGAGAAAAATACCAGTCCAAGATGTATTGCCACTTGAATTGGAAAACCACATAGTCAATTGGGGATTCAGGTTACATTAAAAGCTCTATATCAGTGTTTCTCAACCTTGACAGTTTGAAGATATGTGGACTTCAACTTCCAGAATTCCCTAGCCAGCTTTGTAATGCTATGTTGGCTGGGGAATTCTGGGAGTTGAAGTCCACCCAATTTCAAAAGGCTAAGGTTGAGAAACACTGCTCTATATAGACATCAGTGACTAACTTCACAATCTGTCTCCTATTTCTGTCACCTGAACTATCTGCTTGAAGCTCAACGTGTTTTTCATTTTTCAAGTGAGAAGTTACTTATCTGATTAAGACTGGAATAAGCACAAAAATGTCTGAATTTGAAATTCCTGAACTTTGAGACTCATATATAATAAACAGGATTAAGACTAAAGTTACATATGCATCAGTGGTGGGTTGCACCTGGTTCGGACCAGTTCTATAGAACCGGTAGTAAAACTGGCGGGAGGATCCGCCCACTGACTCGGACGTCATCAGAAGCGATCTACGCATGCGCAGAAGCTTCTGCGCATGCGCAGAAGAGTGCATGTGCACATTAGCAAAGCAAGAGCGCGCACGGGCACAATGCAAAACGGTAGTAAAGGTAAGTAGAACCTACCCCTGATATGCATGTGTGCATCTGCACACATGCGCACATACACCCAAAGATTATTAGCCTAATATTCAATCAACTAAAATTATAGGTATAACATTCACCATGCAATTATAAATATAGTACAGGTAGTCCTCAACTTACAACCATAGAAGCCAACATTTCCGTTGTTAAGTGAGACATTTGTTAAGTGTGCTTTTCCCTATTTTATGGCCACAGTTGTTAAGTGAATCACTGCACTTGATAAGCTAATCACCTGGTTGTTAAGTGAATCTGGCTTTCCCATCGAATTTGCTGGTCAGAATGGGGCGAAAGGTGATCACCTGACCTTGGGACACCGCAACCATCCCAAATATGAACCAGTTGCAAGCATCTGAGTTTTGATGATGAGATCAGATGGATGCTGCAAAGATCGTAACTGTGAAAAACAGTCATAAGTCTTTTTTTCAGTTCTGTTGTAACTTTGAACAGTCATTAAATGAACTCAGCAACAGAGTGATCAATGCTTGGAATGCTCTACCCAATTATGTTGTTATACAGCCTCAAACCCTCATAGTTTCCCCTGTGGGAATAGGAGGGGGGTGGAAAGAAAGAAGATAATAAGAATAAGTGTACAATTATGATGATAATACTGATAGAATAAATCTGAAAAGAAATTGAAAGAAAGTATATACTATTAGAATACAGGAGTTGTTCAGATACCAAACAAGGAGAATATTCCACAGCAAAGAAGCTAGGAAGGAGAGAGGAGTAGAGGGTAGGAAGAGGAGAGGGAGGGAGGAGAGGAATGGAAGAAAGGGAAAAGGAGAGGAAGGAAGGGTAGAGGATAGGAGTAGGAGAGAAGGTGAGTAGGGGGAAAAGAAGACAGGAGTGGGGGAAAGGAAGGGGAAGTAGGATGAGGTAGGAGAGGCGGGAAGAGAAAGTAGGAGAACAGACGAGGGAGGGAAGGGAAAGTGGAGAAGAAAAAGAAGGGTTGTTGCGAAATGAGGGAAGAAAGGGTAGAAGAGCAACTCCGAATGTAATTAAAATGCCTTATTTTAATGCTTTCTTTAAGGAAAACATGTATATGTTGGATTAATTATGTATAAGAAAATGTACATTTTATATTATGTGTATAAGAAATAAAACTGAAAAACTTTTCCCCCCCAAAAAAACACCCCTCACAGTTTCAACCTCAAACTGTTTACCGGGGACCCCACTCCCTTCTTAGGAGGTACTTAAAGGGGGCATGCATAAGCACACCCGCGTGCCTACCATCCCTGTCTTACTGTCCCCATTTATTTGTATTTACTTCCTTTGCTTATGTTTATGTTCATACCTACACTTGTTATCTTCTACACGTTTGTCAAACAAATAAAATAAATAAATAAATAAATAAATAAAAACTGTTGCAAGTCAAGGACCACCTGTATTTAATGCAGGCAGTGCTGGGTTGTTTTCTACTAATAAAAAGAATAAAGTTGCATATAATTTATTTCCAAGACCTTATAAGACACAGAGAAGTATCAGAGTAAAAATACATTATATGTCTAGAATAATGTGTTTTGGTTGCACAGTGCCCATGAGAACAGGATCAAATCCTGCTGAAGATAGGTACGGTAGATACTCATGTCTGAACTGACTTTTTCAGGAGGGAAACAGAGAGGAAAAGAAGTTACAGGCCTTATATAAATTAATCCTACCAAGCCTTATTTATCTGATATAGGTAATTACATACCAATTAGTTTAACATCTGTAACTGCTGAGTTGTTAGCAAGAATTATTAAGAAAAAAACCCATCAATTATAAAGGCATAGAAGAGAAATTTGCATGTGTTTTACGAGGGTAAGTCTTTCCCCTCTAACTTACCTTTAAAAGGTATCAACAAAATAGATATTTTTTTTTTAAAAAAAAAACCCTCTGACACAGTAAAACACCAAAGGTTCCTGACCAAATTCAGGTTATTTTATGGTTTGGTAATGACACTAAGTAGTACACAGAGGTATAACGTATAATGCCCAGACGTTTGCTAACGAATTTCCTCAGTACAAAATATAACATAAAAAAATGAATAACTAGAATCTTCTGGGAATGGTGCACTTTCACTTATTTATAAAGATGCCAAAGGATTTGAGAGGACAGTGAGTAATCAAATGAGATTTTGAGTGTATGGTGGCTAACTCAAGGAAAATGCCAGTTCCTTATGTGGTGGATGCAAAGTAGGAAGAAGAGAAGAATTCCATGCCAGGAAACATTAGAAATGGAATGGAAATTACAAATACAGCAAATCTATAGTTGAATGCACTTTAATATCGCATAAAATTCTCACTACATCCACAGTTGTAAAGCTGGAGAAAGTGGTGGAAAAGGGCAGCCAAAATGGGTTTGAGCAGTTTTTTTTTAAACAAAGACCAACTTTGGCATATGGGGGCATTTAAGAAGAGTGATGGATGGAAAGGGGAGAGATTGTATATAATCAGAGGGGTATACACAATGTGAAGTGTTATTTCTCACTTTCATAGTATTAGAACTTGGGAGTCTCATGGATAGTGACACGCTAAGCACTTCAGGTCTGCTAAAAGGAAGCATTTTTTGTAATACTCAACTAAATTACACGAGCAGTCCTGATGCCACTAATTTAGATGGTTTCAAAGGAGGACTGGAGAAATTCATGGTGGACAAAGACTATTGGTAGCCTTGGCTTGAATCATAGGCAGCATCTTTTCAATATCAGGCTAAAGAGGGTGACCACCAACATCTCGTTCCCTTGAAAACAGTTGGTGATTCCTCATTGTATGACACCAAATGCTTTGGCCTGAACCAAGAGGACTCTTATTCAGTCCAACAGTGCTTTAAAACACAGGTAGTCCTCGACTTACGGCCACAATTGAGCCCTATATTTATGTTGCTAAGTGAGAAATTTGTTAAGTGAGTTTTGTCCCAGGCTACGACTTTTCTTGCCACCGTTGTTAAGTGAATGACTGCGGTTGTTAAATTAGTAACACCGTTGTTAAGTGACCATTGACTTTGCTTGTCAGAAGGTCACAAAAGGGGAATCACATGATCCTGGGACACTGCAACAGTCCTAAGTGTGAAACAGTTGCCAAACATCTGAATTTTGAGCACATGATCATGGGGGATGCTGCAAAGGTCATAACTGTGAAAAACAATCATAAGTCACTTTTTTCAGTGCCATTGCAACTTCAGTCACTAAATGAACTGTTGTAAATTGAGGACTTACTGTATATCACTGTAAAGCTATATCCTTCAATATATAGGGAAGTGCATACAAATAATGCCTTAAACGCGAGGACAGCTACGTTGACCCTTATACTTGTGTAAGAAGATACCTCAGAATATTCTCTCTCTCAATCTATCCGAAAGGCAAATCAAAACCCATGTGCCACCTCCCCCTATTTTAGCTGCTTCATAGTTTGCAGTAGAAGCCTACAAGGGGCAAATCAACTGGTCCTCATCTGTTGGCTTAACAAAGCCAAAGGAATAAAATACTCAGCCAGGAGCTGCACTCACAGACAGGAAGTAACTTTAATTAAATAGTGTGAAAGTTGAAAAGTTTTTACAGCTTGAATTTCTGCAAAATAATTATAACAATCTCTACAGTAGTTAGGTTTTTCTTCTCTAACAATAGAACTGTACAGCGTTTGTGTCTATTCCAAAAGGTTCAGTAAGAAATGAAAGGAGAATCAGTTCAGAGATGACTTCATTTTAAGATGCGGTTGGCTACGATGGAGAGGAAGCGGACATCATTCTCACAGCCCAGCCAAGGTGAGAAATCACATTTTAAGTCTGAAACATGATCATTCCCACTTAAAGCCATATTCTGTAAAAAGCGGCATCTTTAAGAATGGACTTGGAACTCATAGGAATCTATTCAGGGCAGGGAGATAATTTAAAATATAACTTTTCTTTATCACGCACTATAAATACTTGGAGAAAGAAAGTCTGTGTACTCTCACATGATCTTTGGAGGTCAAGGAAACAGGCTATACACATTCATGTAACTGTCTAAATAAAAATAATCTGTCTGACTGGGATTCCACGGAGGGCATCACTGGATAAAATATGGCTTTAATTTGATTACATTTGTGTGCCACTATTACTTTAAGAATTAGAACAAATGTTCGGATTATAATGAAACAATACACTGATAATTCCTTATATTTTCCAATTTCTTTATGTGTGACTATGTTCTTGTTTTTCTGTGGGGAAAGAATACATTATGGATTTTTTTCTTCCTTTCTCTCACTCTCTCTTTCTCTCTTTCTCTCTCTCTCTCTTTCCCACACCCACCCTTTTCCCTTTCCCGAAAGATCACACAGTGAAATCTGAGTGAAATCCCTTGTAAAATTCATACAGGAAGCATGCACAGTTGCAGCATTGTTGCTTGTCTAGAAAAAAGTCACATTTTCTTAAGGTAACAAAACAGTTCTTTTGTGCTTTTCAAAATCTTTTTTTTTCAGAATGTTAGTGATGATTGACAGTTTTGATGCTCAGTACAATGTACAAGTGAAATGAATATGCTTTGCATTGTTAAGGCATCCAATCTGCTGGTTTATATTTATGTGAAAGACAGAGAAATATACAAGCAGACAAGAAAGAAAGTATTTTCATTAATTTCTATGAAGTTTCTCCCCATATTTAATGAACAAAAATGCGTCACTTCAAAGGGGAGAGATTCCATGCATATTAATAGAGTAAAACAGCTTTAGATTTTTTTTTAATAAGCTTCAAAAGCAAAGAATACTTTTTTAAATCTACGTAACTAAATGCTATAAGAATAATATGCTACTTTTTTGCCATATATTGGGAAAAAAACTTCTTAACTTAGAAATAATACAAAAATAGACAATGGCTTTGGTGAACTTAAAACAAAAATGGAAGCTTGGTTTAAAACAATTACTAAAAAAAGTATAAATGAATTGCATTAAATCACATTTAAACAGCTAACACACTTGTGAATGAACAAACAAATTAGCACTTTTCACATAGCAAAATTACACAATAAAATAAACTGGGATGCTGCAGAGAAAAAGCAATGTACAAAGTTCAAAGTTAAATACATTATTTATATGGGTATTTTACAAAATTCTTCATTAAAAAAGCTTTATTTCTTTAATTCATTTTGCAAGCATGTGCAATCATAAAGGTAGTGAGCTCATTTTGCAAAATATGCAGTAATTCTTGTAGATTTGTGTGTGGTTGAAAATCTGTCTTAAGACATTAAATTGTATAAATAGAACAATAATTTGGCCAAAAAAAATCTACAGTATTTATTTATAACTACATACAAAATGCCACAGCAAAGGAAAAAAAAAAACCCCAAACAGATTATTTAATGAATGCATTTGTAAAGGTTTGTTGCATCTTTAATTAAGAACACTTTCCAAGTAACAAGAGATAAATTCCTGTAAATTGGGTGGTTTATTTTGCAACTGTCATATAACTTACTGTGTTCTTCACCCTTTTTCTCCTATACATATTCTCAAAAATGCAACCACTTGTTGCTTAAGAGATTATGTTGCGAACTGAAACGGTTGCCTGATATAAAAACAACTGCAGCTCAAACCAGATATGTCCTTTTTCCTATGTGTGTGCTTCTGGACCATCCTCTGGAATGGCAGGATGAATCCTGTATCTTGTCCCTCCCTCCCTCCCCTCCCCTGCCCTGGCCCACTTCTAAATGAAAGATACAGGTATCAGGAAAGATGCTTCTGGTAAAAAATATGCTCCAAAATGCACTGAACGGCTCACTTTTGTGCCTTTGTCCTGTCCTATCAATTTTCAATGAGATTTACAGAGAAAGACAGTTTAAGACTGTATTTGGATTTAAGTTGGTTAAAAGCAAAAGACAGAGAGCCATGCTAATTGGATTTGCAGTTTTTAGTATTATATCCAGAGGCACTGGGTTACCAAAGTAAAGATGGAAAATGCATGTCCATAGCTACACATATGCTTTTTCCCCCTGCCTTGCAATATTTATGCAATCTTCTAAGTACAATGTTGTCAAAAAGAGGTGTGGAGGGATTAAGGGGAAAAAAAATCATGGCTTCTAAAATGAAATCCTTTTTGTGTATGGTGTATCTTTGTATCTACCGGTATGTTCACATAGACATCCATTGATACTTCCCCAGATTGCAAATCCCAGATGTATGTGCTATTGTTGGTTAAGTAAAACATATGAAAACAACCCTTACTGGCACAGCCATTAATTTTCGAAGGAAAGAAAAACATCAATAATTCCTAACTGGCACTTCTACTTCTGTTCCATAGAAACTCATGTGTTGCCACTTTATTTCCCTTTAAGACAGTTTTAAAAAACTACAACGAAGAAAAGTTCTCAAGTTGGCTTTTCATCTTTGTGCCTCTCCCTCCCATTGTGATTTGTAAAAGACAAAAGGTGACCCATAAAAACTGAAAAGACCAAAGCGTATTTTCTTCAGGACACAAATTTCTCCCCCAAGAACTTGGGACGGACAGCTCAAATTAACATCTTGCCCTTGCAGGCTGTGAGTAGATTTCAGGAATATTTTGCAAGGATGGCAATTTTTTTTAAAAAAAAATGTTTGTTTTTTTTAAACTTTGCAGTTATTTTGAGAGTCTTCCTTTTTCCTTGAAGAAAGGCCTGAGTTAAAAGTTCCTCTCTGGGACTTGGGTCAGACTTCGTTCTGGAGCAGAATCCAAATCCTTCATTAGTCAATTCTTCAAGGCAATTCATTCACATGGGAGGAACTATCATGCCAGATATAGCTGTAAAGGTAAGAAGGAAGGAGAAACAAAAACAAATCAGTTATGCCATTTGGGGCAAGAAAACATTTGTTTCAAATATTCAGTAATAGATCATTCATCTGTACTTCAAAAGTTGGATTTACACATTATAATGGGTAAAAGCTTAGAAAGGAAGAATAATAGCTGATGTTAGGTAATTAGTCCATTACTCTAGAATCACTTATTTCAGTTGTAAAACTCTAAAATATTAAGTAAGAGCTTGCAAAGAAACTGCAATCTATTTGGATAGAAATTGCATGCAAGCAAGTTAAAATTCTTAATGAAGCTTAGACTATAACCCTCGATCTGAAGTTATTTAGTAGTTTGACTGTCAGAAATAACCCTGCCAATCCTTAAGCTAATTGCAATATAAATTCTGATGAAGGAAAATTTAAATAATGAAGTTATTGCTTAGAAAAAAAATACTTTTTAATCTTATGGTTCTTCTTTCAATTTGCCAAATAGAGTTCTAAAATCGAGAGAAGGGCATTGACCAGCTGCATGTATAATATATAGTTATATTATACATGCAGCTATTCATAGTTTCCTTTATGAAAAAGGAATTTTTGGAGATACCATGCAGAAAACTAAAAATCGTTTTGCACCTACAAATAACAATTTGGCTATAAACAGTTGCCAGTTTGAAAACTGGTTTTTTTAAAAAGAGATTTTCATCTATAACTGCTACTTAAATAAAAAAAAAAACCTTCAAAGAAAAGGTATAGCTAATCCAGCATTTTTCCAACTTCATACAGTAGCCAGATGGACTACTTGGTAGGGCATGAAGATTGTTCGCTTTTCTATTGTTATTATACTTTCTTGTATTTTCTCTTCATATCTTTTATTCATGTAAAGATAACATCCCTGCTCAATGCAATTGATAATGTTTTACATATTTAAGAAACCGAGGTTATTTGAAACAAATAGTTATAAAGAGTTCACATTTTATTTCTCTACAGACTAACACAGCTACAATCTTTCAAAAGAAAACAGTTTGAAAGAATCCTGACTTCAACAGGATTAGCTCACATTAAATCATTTCAATAGATGCACTTCATTTGCAAAGAAACAGGTCTGTACATTAGGAGAAATCTGCAGAGATAATCTAGACTCACCCATTCCATGCAATATGAAAAATGATCTACTGCAAGCAAATATGTCATTGCCACTGGCATTCACACATGGCTTGTGGTGATAGCTGTGACAAAGCCGTCTTTTAAAATACCATCAAGGGATATGACAAATTCCGGGCCAAATTATCTAATGTGATTTTATACTGTCTTTTAAATTTTGTAATCTATGTGTTTTATTTTTTGGCTGTTCACCGCCCTGAGTCCTTCGGGAGTAGGGCGGTATATAAATTCAATAAAATAAATAAATAATGTCTTTCAAAGGTACATAGTGAGAGCCACCGTCTTAAACATCTGGGCAAATGATTTCTTGGGAAAGAATTCAAACCCATGTCTGCTTCTAATTCTTGTACTTTAATTACATCGACAACAATTTAATAAGAACCAAGCCCAAATGCAAGGGATTTTTTTTTCCACAGCCATCACCATAAGTGCATGAATTGCAAGACTAATCAGCAACAAAAAGGCAATTTAGGTGAATGGCAACAGATAAACAAAATATGAGGAGACAAGAAAGAAAAATATATCTAAACTTCTGGAGCCAAGCATACTAAAGGTATGCTGGTAGCATAGTAAACATTCCCTTTGAATAGTGTTTCCTTTCTTCAGGGACACTCTTCAAAGATTTGGTGTGATAGATATAGTCTTTATAACAGAAGACTTTCTTTAACTTTTCCTGATTTTGTGATCAGATTAAGAACTCTTGGGTGAAAAAAAAAAAACATCTAATGACAGCTCCCAGGCTGCATTTTGAGATATTTGTATCTCAATACAAATGCTAAATTTAAATTGCTATTTAGCATTTAAATGCTAAATTTTAAATTGTTTTAATAATAGTAAGTACTGGTTGCTAAATGCTAAATATTTAGTATGTAAGTTGTTTTGTTACATCTTTTATTAAAGATGGTGGATAGATATATTCTGTGATAAAATTTAATACTTCTAGGTCAGATATTATTGATAACTGCAAGAGTTTGAGGTTTTACGTCATACTGGTGATCCTTGATTAATGACTACTCACTCAGCAATTCTTCAATGGTGATAAATAGGGGAAATTATGACTGAAGTTCTGGCCGCCATAGTGTCACATGGTCATATGATTGGAATTTGTGACCTTCCTTGCTAGCTTCCAACATGTAAATGGGGAAGCCAGCAGGAAGTTGAAAGCCTCATGTGGTCCTTACTTAACAATCCACATAGTCCTTGCTTAACAATTGTAACCAGGAATTTCTGGAATTGTCATTGCTGAGTGGCATGATCATACGATATCATGTTTACAAATGCATTGCTTAGTTATCCCTTTTCAGACATTGTTATCAATTTTCATAATATGAATTTTAATTTCATTTTTTTTTCTTTTGAAGGACTACAAAATTTCAGCAAAATGGATTATGGTTTCTGGCATTTACTTTAGTTTTAATGTTGTAGGCAAGACTACCTTGATTTCTATTCATCTCTCCAACAGTCTTCAGTTTCTTTGATTTTCTGTAGTTCAATAAATCAATATTCTGGTTCCCATTCATATGCTTAGTTCTATCACAGTTAATTGGCAATAAATTGGCACACATCAGATATGTTCCTTTAGATTTCCAATTGCATGAGGTTCAACTGCAGCTTATCCTTCCCACTCTTTCATTGAATGTGTTTTGTAGTACACAGATGTCTAAGCAGGTGAGAGCAGGGGCAGAAGCAGCTTCACTGCAAGGTGTAAGGTAACATTGTCTAATTTAGTTTGTCCATAATCTAAGCAGATTCACTTGACCAAATATATGGCTTGTGTTGACTGTGTTTCATAATTAGCCCACCACTATGATTATATTTTTGGATTATTTTTCTTTTTTGTCATTGTTAAACAGCTTGCACCTTTAAAATAAGCTTCCATTTCAAGAGTGACACACATTTATTAGTGATTCTTCTTTCTATTATTTTCCATGCTTTTTTTTTTAGTACAAGGCAGTTCTGGCCCTTATAGCCAAGGAAATGCTTCCCAGTTTAAACTCTGTGTCCTAAAGACTAGTGAATAAGTTGTAGATGAATCTTAATTTTCTTTAGCTCTTCTCTTTATTGTTCAATTCCTGTGCATGTTCCATTTATCAAAGTGAAATGTGCATTGGATTTATTTTCCATACTTTCTATTCTTGAAGGGAAAACAATCCAATGACTTGGTTTTACCCTTAGGCTCTGTCTGGGTCTAATGCAGTGGATCTTGCATTTGTCTCTAAGCATAGTCCTTTTTGTTTACAGTATGAATGAGCATGTGTCAGTAACCCTCTACCCCCAGAGCTGTTTGAGGCATCTGGGGATTGTGAGACCCTTCTTGACTAAGTGAGCATGAAATGTCTCTCTACTCAATGCTTTAGAATGTGGTAATGTGGTAATTATGAGGGGGTTAAGCACAGTAGGGCAGCCCTCCAACAAGCCAAATGAAACAGTAAATCAGGAAATTGCTTTTATGATATATATGATCCATATGTTAAATAGATAATTTTCACTTTTCTGACTTGCGGTCCAATGCATGTATGACAAATAATTTTACTGCAGATTGCATATAGAACCCAATACTCTTTTTAATCAAATCTGCCCATAAGGGTATTTGGTCATGAGAAAAATGTATTCATAAATTGGAAAATCGAGGATGTTAAGTCAACATTACCAATGCAAACCAAACAGGACCATGAAATTGGACATAAAATGAAATTTTATAGTAATCAATGTAGACTAAAACCTCCAGAAAGCAATTTTTGAATCTTCAGAGATAAAAATATCATCTATTTGCCTAACCTGGTTATTCTACTTTCATGTGGATTATCTCAAAAAGGCCTCTCACATTTCCAAGTGTTACATTTAATCCTCACTGCCCTGGAATTAAAAGAAATATTTACACAAACAAGTTCCTTTTGTTTGGAAAATGAGAGTGAGGCCAAGATTCAAAAAGGCAAGGAAATAGAACTCAAACCCCAAGGGAGCCGCTAATACATTTATGCAAAGAGCAGTATCCTTACTCTACTTTGCTTATTAAAATGAAGGAAATTTCAAAAACAAATATGATTGACTTAAAAAAACAGAAAGAAATGGCACTCTGTTAAGGTAGGTTGCTGAGGAATCTTAACTTTAGTGTTCTGAATTTAAACTACTAGTTTGTTAGGATGTCTATAATGGATATCTTCAGACTTGTTTGCTGTGCCATGATGTATTGGGTTTAATTTTTACTAAAAATAATTCATAGGAAAAAGTAGCAAGTATTTGCATTTAATAATGCCATTTGGACTGAGGGAAGGAAAGCAAGAAAGACAATTTTCAATTTGTCTTTAGAAGGGCTTTCTTAGGAAGGAATAGTCTCTTGACTATTTTTGGAAATTACTTAATCTATTTCAGCAATGTAGAAATTTTGTGCAAAACAGTAGGAAGCGGTAGATTAAACAAATGCAGCAAAAACATAATTTTTCTAGTAGCTCTATTAATCCATATATTGATTTCATTATTCTTTTTAAAAATATAGATTTTAACATAATTATTATAAAAAGTATTATGACATATAACAGTGACATATCCTGAATTTTAAAAATATGTCTATTTCTCACATAACCACCCTACGTAAAAATATTTACTGATGACCTGATCACACGAATGACTATTGGAGTCCATCACAGTGGAAATTTCTCATTATCTCAGCCTGTTTTTATTTAAATATAGTTATGAAGTTCATATATATCCAGTTTGATGAACGGAGAAGTTGTTTGCTTTTAAGTTCCCAATCCTAAATGTTATTTTAATGACGTTGATTCTTATTTTACTTGTCAGGAAATACTCTGCCCATCTGTTAATGCTGGGGTTCCATGAAAAGTAAAAATGTTCTACAAAGAATTGTGAAAGTCATGGTATAAACAATGTTCTCCCCTTTGATGAATCATGTTAAGTATTTCCCGAATCTGACACAGACATACTGTAGATATGTTGGAAATCCATGTTTGCATGAATTACAATAGTATGATGGGAGGAAGGCCTCAGCTACAATCTGTTGGATGGGATAGAAATGAAAAAAAGCTGAATAGATTTTCAAGATGCCAGGTACTGTTTGCAAATGGAAGTGGGTTATTCGTATTACATTAATAATGGGAAAATAAGAAGACTGGTAACTTTACACAACACATAATGTGCCACCTATACTTAGTGATATGCTATCACATGCAATCTGATATCTGTGATACCATCATAAACAGTGTTGCTCTTAGTACAGGTGGAGGACATGTCAAAGGAAAAACAAAAAACAAAATTAAAAGAAAGGAAGGGAAGATTGACTAACGTACTTCAGGAGAAGGCCAGACCCTGGAGAGACCCTGCAGTGGAGTACTTGCTAGAGTCCACAAAAGACTGGTCTGATAAAAGACAACAACAAGGAATAAGAAAGGAAAGAAAGAGAAAGGCTGGTATTAGTAAGCTGCAATACACTCGTTTTAAGCAAACACTCAGACCATGCTTTTAAGACACAGCATTTCAGTTCAACAGGGTAATAATGATCAGCTGTGAGGGAACCAAGGGTGAGTGACAACTATACAATGGAATCTCCCCACCATGTAACTGAAACTTCATTACCCTTTTCTTACTCAACTCCACCCTGCCAATGCCGACAAAAGCAGCATGCCCAGACTGGCCTACCTTGCAGGCTATTCCCATTGGTGCTGGTACAGGTGGGGGGAGGGGATGTCTGTGGTCTGACAACAGGAGCAAAAGCACTCTTCTGTTTCACTGCTGAGACCATATTGGCTGGTGAGAAGGAGAAGATCCCAGAGGAGCTGCTACAATTAGAAGGGAGACTAGTAGAGGATGCCATGGTTGGACTGGATGGCACAACTAGAAGAAAACAAGAAGAGAGAAGAATTATTCTTTTCAAGACCATAAATGAATTGGAGTATTTCATTTCTCTATTTGCAAAGCTCCCTTAATGATGTCCAGAACAATTGATGTTTCACTCACTTCGAAACTGAATGTCCCTTCTGAGAGTCCCTCATTCCAGAGGGAAACCTAGGTTATGTGGGGAAGAAAGCAGAACATGACTTGTTCCCATACCAGCAGTGTCTCAGGATTGCTGAAATTAGGCTAAACAGCACAAGGAATTTTCAATATTGTATTTTAGCTTTAAGGACAAGGTTGTGCAGAAATAGCAGTGGTCACTATTCTGTGGAAGTAACTTCTAAACTGCTCTTGAAAGATAACTATATATAAAGTCAGTTTGTTCTAGTGGTTAAGGCACCAGGCTAGAAAACAGGAGATCCTGAGTTCTAGTCCCACCTTAGACATGAAAGCTAGCTGGCAGACCTTGGCTCAGACATTCTCCCTCAGCCTAATTCACTTTATTGGGAGGAAAATAAGAGGAGAAAAGTGTGCTGGACATATTTGCCATCTTCAGTTATTTGTAAAAACAATAAAAGTGATGATGATAGTAGATAGATAGGTAGGTAGGTAGGTAGGTAGGTAGGTAGGCAGGCAGGCAGGCAGGCAGGCAGGCAGGCAGGCAGGCAGGCAGGCAGGCAGGCAGAGATAGAGAATCAACCTTTGCTTCCCCATTAATAATCCTGAATGGAAATCTTTCTTAAAGAGACACAACCTGGCAAGTTAAAAATTTGTATTCTACTTCATTCCCCTAGGTGTTCTTCGGGATTAGTACTGCAAGTAAGAAAGTGATTTTGAGCATCACAAAAGCAAATTATTTTTGCTTTAATTGTTATTATTACATTTATATTTCCAGAGATAAGAAGAGACACTTGTAGGATTCACTGCCCCATGAGCCAAATGGCTTATTTTAAATATTATACATTATAACTTGGGAGTACATGTGTAGATATGTGGGTTCACTATTTGTTGTTTTGTCCAGATTAATAACACGCTGTAGGCTATTCTTGTTGGCCATATAATTCAAGGAAAAATGATGCCAAGACTTCTTGAAGTACCATCAAAGGGAGCACTTTTTAGATTATCTGCATCTATATATAATCCAGTCTGCATGCACATTTAGTATCCCCTGCAACATTATGCTTAATTACTTTTTAAAAACCTTGCTGGTGCCTTAAATAATATAGTTAATGCTTTTACTCAAAATAGGACCAAATTACTGTCTTCTATGATTCTGGGGAAAAAAAAAACATTTACAGGCCAAATTACTCATATTTTTTTAAAAAACCTTGTTTAGAGATTGTTTTTGCTCAGGATATTTAATGAATAATTAAATGGTTTGGGAATGAAAATTCAAATTAGCTGAGGCATAGATGACTATTTTATTTGCATTTATACAGATAAAAATAATCCCTTTAGAATCTCTGTGTAAACATATGATACCATATTTCCGAACCCCAATGAAATCAATTAATGGAAATTAAATGTTCAAAGTTTCAGTCTGACAGATACTGTCTTAGTGTAAAGTCACTTGGTATAAACACACACTTGTGAAGGCAGAGCAATCAAAGCACCCAAATTGAATTGCAACTATACAGCAATTAGTTTATTGATTTAATTAAGAATGCCACCTTTCTAATTCTCAGGTCATGATTGAAACATTTTCTGATTAACAATATTTGTTGTTAATAGGGCAGTAGTATATATCAAGAAAACCATTCTAAGAATCATGATGATGAGACAAAAGAGGCATGATTTAATAGGAACAAACACTTCACAACTTGTAAGGCATAAATTTGGCATTGCTGAACTATTTCTAATGGTGAATCAAATACAGTAATGTTGTTAGATAAAGCATCCTGTCAAACTCCCACAATTTCATTTGTTGCCAGCAGATCATCCCTTTAATTAGACTATTATAATCATTTAAATTATAACATGTTTTGGTCTTTTCAATTACTGGTAAAATCAGGTTAATTCTCTTCCTAGAGTTATGCACAGTGAAGTGGTCAACCCGTATTCATGGGGAAATAAATCCCCATGATAATTTTTTTTAAATTTTTTTTTTTTAAAAAAACCCTTGGTCTCCAGTTCAGAGATTCCTTGTGTCAAGTTGTTTGATACCATACCTTTAATTAAACTGATTGCTGGCTTTGCAAGTTTGAACATCAGTCGAATGCCTAGCTTTAATAACTCTTTCCATACAGATTAGGGATTATTAACACCTAGCATCTCTTGGAGAACTCACATATGATTTAAATTTGCATTTTCATGTATCATTCTAAAGCTGTACAGTATAGTTTCAAGCAACAACAGCATAGACCTCACTGTGCAACTTTCAACTTATTTATGTGGAATTAAGCACACCAATATATATCTGGTAAATTTCTTGAAAGGTTTCCAATCATTACAAAAGCTTAGGGTACTCAGATCTCTACTCAATATATTTTGTGTAACATATATAATCATACATACTGGCGTAGGGAGAGTTGGCAGCAGATCCATTCAGGAAAGTTGGAGAACCACCTAAATTGGACATTCCAGCATTTCCATACCCATTCATGCTTGTTGTGACGGAGTTGTAGTTTGTCTGCTGAGGTGTAGTGCTTGGCACATAACCATGAGGAGATACACTGCTTGAGTTGCGAGTAAAACCTTTTGCAGGAAGTAAAAAAACAAAACAAAAAGACAAAAGCTGTTTTTCAACCAAAAGTTCCACCCAATTTCAAAACATTCCAAACCATACTATGCTAAAACTGGACGAGACTTCAGTTTTAAAAAAAAATGCAATTATGGGGAAAATTTGAGGGAGTGGCTTTTTAAAATAGTTTATAAAGCAATTATACATTATTTATACTAATGTGCCCTATAGTCATATTTTCTATGTGTCATAGAAAATGAATTAAAGTGTAAACATTATTACAATATTCCTACCATAAACAAAAATCTAGACCAGCAAGAAAATCCAAATTGTTACAAATATGATAAAAATATATGGATTATTATATGGATTACTGGAACTGTATAAGATGAAACAACTATGAGTGTCATAAGTAACCAAGGTCTTTGAAAAAAAAACAAACAAACAGAAAAGGTAGAGGAAACAGAAAAGAGCTTTGCCTGGTGCTGAAAGAATCACAATTATGGGTGCCAGACAAGCTTTCATAGAGAAAGCATTCCATAGTGGCAATCCACCAATAAAAATATTGAGAACATTTAAGCAAGTACGATGCACTATAGTGGGTGGGTCATAGATAGTAGAAGATATTGCAAGCCGCTGTGGAATACAGCCTAATGCATTATTGTATCATAGTTTTCTACAGACATTTTCCGGCAACCTGTTAACCATTTGTGACAAGTTTCTTAATATGAAAGAAAAGGAAAAAAGTGCTTCTTGCTTGTTAAATCTGGAAAATGGTTAAATTAGTTCTAAAACATTAAAGCAAGGACAGTCCTTTTTCCAATGTCAGAAACTTCTGAGAGCTATTTATTAGAATATCTATGAAGACTATCAATAAAAAAAAGAAAAAGAAAAAAAATACCATGATGCACTTTTGGTTGTGGGTTCTGTGGCCTTGGTTGCATGAAATACACATGAAGTTTCTAACTAGAAAAAGGAATACTCATCCCTTAATAAAAAATAAAAATGGGCTGGATGCAATAATAATCCCAGAAGTACAATTAAAAACTGTTATCTGGATTCTGAAGCTCATGATATCCCAACATGTAATATTGCCCTACTGAAACTTTTCCTCTGATTCTAGTCACCCCCAGACCAGAATTTCTGATCGCAGGAAAATTTTCCTAAGTAACATTGCTTCCTGTTTCTCACATTCTATTAACAACTGAGTCTGTATTCAAATGAAGGAACCATCCTTAGATCATAGGCTTAATTTAAGAGATTTTCACTTTTAGATTTATGGATCACAACTCATTGAAATGTGTGGTTGACCATGTGTTCTGTCCTTTACAAGGACTCTGATTTATCATGCTCCTTTTCACAGATGATTATGCAAATACATTGTACATTGCCTGGATTCTGAGCTGTTCTCTATAGGACTCTAAAGGAAAAAAGCATGCTGATTGAAAGGAATATGCATTATGACCAGAGGTGGGTTTCAGCAGGTTCTGACCAATTCTGGAGAACCAGTAGTGGAAATTTTGAGTAGTTCGGAGAACCGGTACATACCACCTCTGACTGGCCCCACCCCCATTTATTCTCTGCCTCCCGAATCCCAACTGATCGGGAGGAAATGGGGATTTTGCAGTAACCTTCCCCTGGAGTGGGGTGGAAATGGAGATTTTACAGTATCCTTTCCCTGCCATGCCCACCAAGCCATGCCTCACCCACCAAGCCACACCCACAGAACCGGTAGTAAAAAAATTTGAAACCCACCACTGATTATGACTTTTATTTACCACATAAAGCATTGAAAAGAGAGGTGGGGGAGTCTCCTTCAGCTTACCCTGATTGGTGGCCTGTGAGGCTTCTGAGACATTTACCGCTAATTGACCACTAAATGAATTCACACCCATCATGCCAGCATGGACTGATGTATTAGCGAGCGCAGGGAGTTGGTTATGATTACGAGGGACACTGTAGAGTGCTTCTGCAATATCAGCTGCTCTTTTCAGGATTATTTCCTGCCAAAACATGAGTTTAGATATGAGGGAAAGTAATTAAATACAGGTAGGTCCTCGACGTATGACCACACTTAGGTTCAAAATTTATGTTGCTAAGTGAAACCTTTGTTAAAGTGAGCTTTGCCGCATTTTACTATCTATCTTGCCACAGTTGTTAAATGAACCACTGCAGCTGTTAATGTAGTAACCCGGTGGTTAAGTGAATCTGGTTTCCCCATCAACTTTGCTTGTCAGAAGATTTCGAAAGGGGATCACGTGACCCTGGGATGCAGCAGCGGTGATAAATATGAACCAGTTGCCAAGCATCTGAATTTTGATTACATGATTACAGATTGTAAGTGTGAAAACCGGTCATCGGTCTCTTTTTTCAGCACCGTTGTAACTTTGAATGGTTACTAAATGAACTGTTGTAAGTCAAAGACTACTTGTACAAAACTTACTAGGAAATTCAGATTCGGGTTTCCAAAATCCAGGTAGCCACTATGTCAGCAAAATGTATTTTCTGCTTTCTTCCTACTATCAAGTGGCTGTTGTTTTTTTCTTTTTTTTTCTTTTTTGCAGCTATTGATCTGGAAGCTCTAAATCAATTCATCCGTTCAGAGCAATGGAAAATTGAGCTATGAATCAGATGATTATGATTTCATTTGTTCAAAGGGAGTAATGAACAATAGTAACTGATATCATGATGAACCAATTCTTTGCTGTTACAGGTAGTCCTTGACTAACAACCACAACTGGGACCAGAATTCCCTGTGCTACACAAGGTAATTGTTAAGTGATTCACGCCTGATTTTACAACCTTTATTTCCCACAGCCGTTTAGCAAATCACTGCAGTCATTAAGTGAATCATGCAGTCATCTAGAGAATCCGGCTTCCCCCATTCACGTTCCTTGTCAGAAGCTGGTGGGGAGATCGCAAATAGTAATCATTGTAAATACATGCTGGCTGCACTGTGCCCAAATTTTGATCATGTGACTGCGGAGATGCTGCAACGGTCGTAAGTGCAAGGACCGGTCGTTAGTCACTTTGTTCACTGCTGTAGTAACTTTGAACGTCACTGAATGAATGGTTGTAAATCGAGGACTACTTGTATTCTATAAAATGGAGACAAAGTTATAAGGTTGAAGATGTTTATATGTAAAATATTACATGTAAAGACGTATTGATTTGTTCTTAGAAAGAACAAATAGATGTAAGTGTTGGGAAAATCTTTAGTCCAGTTCCAATTTGCAGTGAACAGCTATCTATCTTCCAGAAAGCAAAAGACACAAAAAAGTAGAGCTTCACAAAGGGCTGTAAATGGGGAGATTAATCCCCATATTTTGATATCAGATAGCTGAGTGTTACCATCATTTACTTCAGTGCATGTATTTTTGGAAAGGCACATAAGATTCCAGTGTTAAACATCTGTCTTCAGTTTTGTTTTTTGTTTTGTCTTCAGTTTAAGGAGCTTGTAAAAGAGTTCTATAAAATCAGGACCTGTCCTATTGAGAATTAGTTAGACCTGTACTTCTTAAATTACACTAAGATAAGGCTCTAAATTGAATGCCTAAATTTGTATTTTACACTGATATTAAGTTAACTACTGGGAACAAGCAACTACTAAACAGCTGAATACCATACTAGTGTATTTAAATTCTATTGAAAACATAACACATTAAAACTATAAAATACAAATAACACAGACTAGTATTTTCATTATTTTAGCAAAGCAAAGCAACTAATAAAATCAAAATTTAAAATGCTACTTCTGTTAGAAACTTTGAGATGAGTTTGGTTCACATGGGAAGTTTTCCTAGATTCCTATTATGGCACCTTCAAGGTTTACTCAGCCTTCCATCCTTCTGAGGTTGGATGAGGACCCAAATTGTTGGGGGCAATATGCTGATTCTGTAAACTACTTAGAGAGGGCTGTAAAGCACTGTGAAGCAGTATATAAGTCTAAATGCTATTGCTATTGCTGTTACTTTTCACCAATTTGCAATTTTATTTTTATTTGTCCGTGCAAGATGACTCTGCACAGATTTCAGAACACCAAGCGGAACGCTATTTAACCAAGGTTGCATTTACCTGATTGTTATGTGGCATACCATAGAGTGCTTCCACCAGATCTGCTGCCCTCTTGAGTATTACTTCCTATTGGAAAGAAAAGGAGAATTTTACCCATATTCATGTGTAGCAAACACAGTTCTAACATTGTGTCTTCAATTTTGTTTTCAGTCACAGCCTTGTTTTCAGTCTTACATTTCAACAGTGCCTAGTCAACTCAGAATGCTGCTAAATCATGAATTCATCCAATTCACACAAAAGTTAAAAGGTAAAACCTGCTTGAGCTGCAAAATAAAATCTGTCACTCAATTGTCTACCAACTGCACAGAAGCTGCTTGCAGGTTTATTGCCAAATAAGACCTACATTTCTTTGTTCAATTGCAATCAATGTCACCCAGAGCATTTTACAGATTTCTTTCATGCTGTTTATTGGGCTCTTAATTTATATAATAGAAATGTGTCCTTATCAGATCAACCATATTGTTAAGCTATCTCTGGAATGCTGTTGGTGATCTGATAACAATATGCTTCATCTTTTCCCCATAGTTGGGTGCCATAGCCTGGTATTCAAAAAGGAAAGAAAGGTTTTGAACACAAGCAGCAACTGAGAACAAGATATCAATGTTATTCTTCAGGGAATCTGGAGGGATGTGGGTGGAGTGTCCAAATTTTAAGCATAAACCTAACTTTAATTTCCATGGTTGCTCACTTCTCCATCTGCTTATTTATTTATCCTTGTTGTGTTCCTAAACTCATTTGTATTACGTACATCTCTTCATTTCCCTGCTCCAGCTTATACCCTCATGGTCCTGAGACTGACATCTGCATAGCACAATGCTCTCTTTGTATTTTTAGCACGTAAAACTTCGAGAACAAGAGTCAATAAAGTGTATTTGTAAATTGCAAGTATCTTTCTACATCACAGAAACAATAACATACATTTGGTTCCCCCTGTACGTATTGAAATCTTAGTAACTTCTACCAAAAATAATTGATCTTTGTAGGCATGACAGCATAAAAGCTGAATTGTAATACATTTTTACAAATGTTTTCTGAAGCTAGATGCATTTTTTTATAAGAACTGACTTTTGAGTTAAGCTGAGAAGCTTAACTAGGAATGTTTTATACACTAGTTAGATTTTCTAACTAAAAGAAGTAGTAATGCTCAATTTTCATATACTATAGTCTCTTATCAGAAGAGAGAGATATAATTGCATTCATTTTGCTGTCACCATAACCTCTTCAAAATCCTTGAACAACTCTTCAGATGACAAGCTTTTAGATGCATATTAGCATTTTTCAATTTAAAATTCTCTACAATATATGCTAAAAGAGTTGGCATATTGCAGTAGGTACTTATGATATACATGATGTCCTAAATTTAAAAATGAGATTATAAGTATGTTTTGAACCCCCATACACATTTATCGTTCCTTAGAACCACAGCACACTCTCCCTTTCATAATGCACATTTCAGGTTTTTTTAATGCTTGCAGCCAGCTGCATTATATAATTGATGGGTTTTGAATCAATACATTTGAAACTATTTATTTCTGAAGAGATCACTAGCTCTTGTCTTTGTCCTCTCTATGCATCCTGACCAAAGTACTGAATAATTTACAAGCGTATGAATTGTATGCGCATGATACCCATATGGAATCAGGCCATGCTGGTTCAGCCAAGCTACTTAGAAAATCAGTGAGCTCAGCCTGCCTTGTAAAAGATTAAAAATCTAGAATAGAAGGGAAAAAAAGCTTGTCACATTTGACTTTTCCAGTTCCTAGTAAATTAAAACATCTTGTCCAGACAAGATAATTTTGGAAATGTAATGCTATCCCAGGTGACATCATCAGCTGTTGCATAACATTATTATAAAATGGCAAGTCTCTCTTATTGTTGTGAGAAATATGTCTTATACCTTGGCCCATATTAATAATAAAAATTATATTTTGCATTAAGTCTGAGCATCGATATGCACAAAATAAATCAGATATTAACTTTGGAGCAGTTTAATTTTGCCAATGGAATTTCCACATGAAAATATAGTTTTGGGACTGTCTTAATGTAACTACATGAAATCTAAACTTCCATTCTTTCACAGATAGTTTCTTAATAGTCGGTAAGATCACAATAAAATAATTCTAATTGCAGACACTATCTCATAGTTTCTCACTGGAATATATTGAATAAGCATCACTACAATTTACATATTGTCAATGTTTAGGTTCCATTTCTTTTTATAACAAGGAATTGCCTATACATTTCATGTTTTCTTAACAAAATTGCCTCATAATAGCACTTTTCTTTCATGTAGCTTTGTCAGAAGTTGCAAAACAATTATGGAAAAAATCTTGTCAGCTAATTTTTAAGCTTTTACATAAAAATGCTAGCTTTTCTGTTCTATTATATGTTAACATAGAACATTCTACAGAGCGACCAAGGTAATTTAAAACATTTTAGGTTTCAACCCATTTATGAGCACAGTCCTGACTTCAAATACAATGCGATGCGTAAAAGTCTTCTAGAAAGTACTGATCCTGCAGCAGCACTGCAAGGTGGTTGAATTGCAGTGACCAGAAAATTGTTCTCACCTCCATGTCATTACGTTCACAGTGAACCAGCTCCGAGCGTGTTTGTGTTCGGGATCTAATATATTGCCTTTCAATCAGAGCTGAGAGCCACTGAACACATAGACAGAACATGACGAGCAGGTCAGGAAAGCAATAAAGATTTTACAGAGCTGTCCAAGGTGCTAAATTTACTCAATAATGGGTTTGGCACCATAGTGTTAACCTCTCATTTACTACCAGTTTGAAAGACTAAATTGAAGTAGCTGACTTCATTTACCTTGAAATGTATATTTTATGACATTATGTAAGTAGATTGAAAGGGCACTGCAGCTTTAACAATTTAAAGGGCTAAAGCATGTTCAAGATTATGGCTGGCTATTTACTGTAGATTGTATATTGTACTTAAAAGTATATGGAATATTACAATGTACTGATTAACCTTCTGAATGTTATTGTAAGAAGATAGCTGATATTTTTTTTAAAAATCTAAGCCTTTGAAAGCAATATTGTGCTGCTAAAAGTGTGTCTTTAAATAGACACTAGAGCACTGTAAATACACTCACGCACCAACATTTAATATTTGTTTTTGGATTAACAGGTTACAACATTTCCATGTGCATTAATAATATCAAGAATGCATATTCTTTTTCATGCCCCTAGCCCATGTCCTTTTCCTTCTGATAATTTATCAGACCCATTCTAGACATACTCACTGAGTATTAAATATTAACACTGAAGATGATAACTAGGCAAAGAGTTGCAACTGTTCTTTTTAGGACTAAAACAACTCATTTAAGAATCAGACAGCTAATATTTTAAGAGAGTATCTGGAAAAATAGGAGCATCATCCCTTTATTCTATATTTGTTTCTTTGATGTCATCATGGATTGATTAAAGTTTGTCAAGATTAAAACCCCTACAAAATTAGTCAAAGATGATAAATCATATGATTGACTTAGCTTTTTTTTAAGCAAAAAAAATCTGTGGTTTATGGTTGTTAGTGGTCTGTAACTAGAAAGCTTAGAGGTCAGAAAGCATGTGCTGTATGTTCACTTTAATCCCTACGATTTAGGAGAAAAAGGAATTCTGGCTGTAAGAAAAGTCTTCAGTCAATCAGCCATCTGCAAGACAAACTTATTTTAAAGAAAAAGGAAGGTCAATGCTTCAGAATGTATTGACTAGAATTGTTCTTGAGAATGATTACTGGTTTATGTTGAAGCTCAGAATTTAATAGGAGCTATTTCTGGTTAAGTTGGAAGAGAAAAAAAGGAGTTCAAGCTTTTTGTTGAAGGATTTAAAAAGGGAATGTATTAAAGTGCACTGACCTACACTTAACATTTAAGCATTACTGAAGAAGGAGATTCTTTCTCAATTCAGAGAGATCAGTAAGGAGAACTCCACAAAAAGAAAATCTGTGGTTTGATGATTATTAACTGATATTGTGCAACTTTTATTACAGACTAATTCATACTAGTTTTGTAAAATCAGCAAGAAATAGTGATGGCATAAGGAGGAAAGAAAACTATCTAACGGATCAAGACTTCTATCATTTGGATATATGCATGTGGTGTTTTTTGTAAGCTTTCTTAGGACAGGAAAGAACAACTTATAAATTACATAGGTTATTACCATCATAATAATGCTGATTGATTTATCTATGTTTGAATTTCAATTATTTCAAATTCTGTTAAAGAACTTGTAAAATTCATGTAAAAGAACTGAATAACAACTGTGTGAAGTGTTTTAATTGGAATATCTTATCTTGTGCATTTTTGAAACAATATAATTCTATTAAAGCTAGTATTTAATTTCTGAATTTGTTAATCTACACACACATGTGTGTGTGTATGTATACATTCATACATACATATGTATATGCATATGTATATGTGTGTGTGTGTGTGTACGTATACACTGCACACAAAATGAAGTTTGATCCAAAGAAATATCAAAAATGTTTCTTGCATTTAGCTTGTTGAATATAGGCTAGAAAAATAGCTGGCTCTCTTCGAAAAGGAAAGCAAGATGAGAAAGAAATCCAGTACTAATTAGGAAGGATAATTACTGAATTGAAAGTGATCTTATTCCCCCATTCATTTTGTTATGTACTCAGATATACCAATGCTTTAACTTTTTTTACTCAGTCAATCTTTCCATTCTGAAACAACACAAAAAATCAAATATAAAAATGAACCTGGATTGATATTTTATTATAAGAGATACAACTCTGAAGCAAAGTGATGTGTCTATGGAAATAATATGTTTGGAAGTTGGAGTAAAACAACACATTTACTTAGGGTTTCTATCACAACATTCAATATGGATAGTACCAATGATAATTCATCAATGCATGTCACTTGCTTTTAATATGATTGCATAATATCTTATATAACTGTTCAAGGCTTTCTTGGCTCAATCATTATGTTCACAATTAAATCAATTAAGATATGGGCAAAAAGAACATTGCAGGTAAATACTGATTTTTTTTATAACAAGTGATTAATGTTAACAACAAGC